TACTTGATTGTTGCTTATAATTTGGGAGCACCTCTTGATTCATTCTCAAATCATTCCTCAACTCCTGACTTAACTACCTTGTGCTTGGGACTAAAGCTGTAACCCAGTGGTAGGATACTTGCCCTAGCAAGAGAGAGGCCCAGGTTCAATTCCCAATTCTACCAAGAAAAAGAAAATACAGTTAATTCCTGTGTTTCATGTCCATGTCTAGAAAGCATCAATACCTAGTAAATTTGTCATCTTCTTACTGACCTTGCTTAAAACAAGGCCCTCTCCTCTTCCAGCAGATTCAGAGGGTCTGTTACTGCAGTTTGTTGTGTGTACTTGAAAAGTGGCAGTTGTCTGGTATATTTCTCCTCCCTGTTCAACCCCAGATTCATTTTAGTCTTCTGAAGCATCGGATGTGAAAACACTGAGTCCGGTGCTTGGCATTCCTGCTTAATTCTGCATAAGGCTTTACATAGGATGGATGGTTATATGATTATCTAGACCCCTCGATAATCGGGATTTTAGGAAAACTTATGTCTAGAATAGGGGACTCTGGGCTTGTGTTGCTTAGCTCTCAGGCATGTCTTCTCCAAGCAGTCCAGCCAGCCAGCCGTGATAACAGTGATTCTTCCTTGAAGGGTGTGGTGAGAGTTGGCACATGTAGTAAGTATACAACAAACAGAAGCTAGAGGCTCACCCACCAAGACAAAGGAGGGACTGTGTAGGGCCATGTGTAACAGAAATACATGTTAAACTATGAAGGAAGTCAGAGAGAACACACATGCACATGGAGCTAGGGTCTGTTTTGTAGAAGACACCACAACATCATTATTGAAGTCTAACAATAAAGACCCTTTCCTGTGTTCCAAAGGGTCCCTGTTTGTTAAGAGAGCGGCCTAGCACCTCATGGTGCCTCTGATCGGGAACTTTGGCTGTTCACTTGTTATTTTTGTTTAATTTTCTTAAAATAGGCTCTTGCTTTGTAGCCCAGGCTGGCCTCTGACTTGAGCTCTACCTGCCTCAGTCTGCACCACCATGCCCACCCTCTGTTCTCTACTCAGAACCTAGCGTCTAGGACAGTGTGCCATGCACGTGGCTGATGAAAGCCTGGTGAATGAATGTGTGCCCTAGTAAAGAAGCCACTCCTGGGGCATGGGGTAGGGGACAGTAATTCTGAAGCATGTGGGACCTTTCTTGAGTATGACTAGACCCTGAAATTAAATTAGGCTGAAGCCCTGACTTTGCTCAGCAGGTATAAGTAAGTGCTTACTTACTATACAGTCCTGACAATTTGAGTTCAATCCTAAGAACCCGCAATGGAAGGAAAGAGACAACTCTCAAATGTTTTCCTGTGACCTCCACATGCCTGCCATGGTATGTGTGCATGCGTGCGCGCGTCCACACACACACACACACACACACAAATACACACATACACACACACACACACACACAAATAATGATAATATAGTTTTTTATTTTTTATTACTAATTTTTATGTGTGTGAGTGTTTTGCCTGCATGTATGCCTCCCTGGTTCTCATGGAGGCCAGAAAAGATTATCAAATTCCCTGGAACTAGAGTTCTAGATGACTGTGAGCCACCATGTGGATGCCGGGAACTGAACCCAGTCCTCTGGAAGAGCAGCCAGTGCTCTTAACTCTGAGCCATCTCTCCGGCCCTAAAAATGTCTTTAAGTGAGTCAGGCTAGTTGTGATGGTGCACACCTGTAATCTCAGCAGTTGGGAAGCAGAGGCACGAGGGTTAGGAGTTCAGAGTCATCCTCTGCCAGTAGACAGAAAAGTAAGGTAAATCATGCTTCAGTGAGATGAGTTCAGGGTTTCGGGCAGATCGGGGATTAAATGCCTGGAGAGGAGGTAGTCTGTGGCTGAGCCTAAGACTTGTGGCAGCCAGCACAGGCCGCAGAACCCTGAGAAGCTTCTTCTGCCCTTACCTGGCTGTGTCCCTGGGTTGGGTCTATTCTAGAAAGGCAGTTGATAATGAACTTCTCGGTGCGAATGAGACTGCTAGGATGACCATTCTGTCTGTTGCAGTGCCATGGGGACAGTCGTGCTGGACGGACAGATCTACGTCTGTGGAGGCTACGATGGCAACTCTTCCCTCAATTCTGTGGAGACCTACTCACCTGAGACGGACAAGTAAGAGCCACCTACTTCACAGCATGAACATTAGAGCTGCACCGTGTTCTTTAAGCTGAGTGTGTCTCTTCTGGTTTTTCTGAGACAAGTCTCACAATGTAGCCTAACTGACTCTCAGCAGTCCTCTCTTAGCCTCTTTGAGTGCTGGGATGACAGACGTAAACAACTATGCTCAGCTAAACTGTTCCTCACTACCTGGCTTTATGAGTGCTAGACTCCCAACCCCACCTCTTGTTTAGTTTTGCTTTGCTTTGTTGGAGAAGAGGTCTTAAACTAAAGGACTCTTAATGTCTCACCTCAGCCATAGAGACATGCTGTGGTACCTAGCTTAAAGCTTCTTCTGGGTAGGAAGTGACTTAACAACATTTTGCATGTCATAGATTTTAAAATCTTTGGTTAAAGGCCAGTCGTGGTATTGCATGCCTTTTAATCCTTTCACTTGGAGGCAGAAGCAAGAACATCTCAAGAACATCTGTGTGAGTTCAAATCCAACCTGGTCTACATAGTTTTTTTCTAGGCCAGCCAGGGCTTAAAAACACTTTTAAAAAAAAAAAAAAAAAAAAAAAAAAAAAAAAAAAAACCCAAATTAAACTCTTTGGTTAAATTTCAAAAGAATTGAAGTCAGGCATGGTTGTTCATGCCTATAATTCCAGCATTTGAAGCTCAGGAGCTCAAGGCTATGTGAACCCATTTCAAATGAACAAAAGGCGCAGATACTTGGGAACATTAATGTCTGTGTCTCTTCATTAAACCAGTCCATTGTAACGTGAGTACAAGCACAGTGGGTGAGAAATAGCTGGATGGCACATCCCAAGGCAGTGAGGCCTGCTTTGAAAGCAATAAAATGTACGGTCAAAAAGCTTGGGCGGTGTTGGTATTTGTCCCTCCACACTGCTTGTCTTTCCTTCATGCATATGACATTGCAGAAGTTCTAGAAAAGCTGGCAGTCTGTCACGCCCTTCCAATCTTGTAGGCTGCTTTTGCGGACATGAAAAAACACTGGCAGTGATAGGCTGAATTCTCATTCTAGTGTTTGATTCCTCCCTTTTACATAACAAATGTGAGTAAATGGGTGGCAAGGACCCATCAGGATGTTCTAAAGCTGATATTCTGTTACCTAGCCAACTGACTGGTTATTACCAGGTAGGAAGGAGGCTGGTCCTGCCTAGTGCTCAGTTTGGCAGGCCTTGAGTACATTGTACTCACCTTGCCCTGGAGGCCTGGAGCTCTTAGCACAGAGTGGGATTTAGGGGACAGTGTAAGCCATGCCTGCTAGAAGCTGGCTACAGGTGTGCTTGACCACGCCTGTTAGGGCATGGTCAAGGTGAGGTCAGGATGACACGTGATAGGGTTTTAAGGGGCTGCAAGGCACATGGGAGCCCCTTCTTTCTGGCCTCCCTGCCTTGCTGCCCCTGGCACATTCTGGCTTTCGTTTGGCTGGTGTTTATCTGAATAAAGATATCTTAACCTTACAGATAAGGGATCATCTCGTCATATGTGGCGCCCAATGTGGGGCATGAGGTCCTTAGTAAGGCAGTGAGAAGCCACTTCAGGGACATGGTACAGCTGCTGGAAGAGCAGTTTAGTTCCCCTGGCTGTGTGGGATTGGGGTAAAGATGTCCTGAAAGCAAGGAGGTCCAGGTGTGAGGCTAGAGCTAGGCAAGTGGTATTGGTGTTATTCTTTTGTTTAAATTAGAAATAAAGAAGAAAAGAGGTGGATGAGACATAAGACTAAGAGACATATCAGACATCTTAACCAGTTTATTATAGGCCTGGCAGACTAGGGAGACCAAGAGAGAAGAGAAACAGGGTAAATGGCTGACCGCCATGGCCGGTCGCCGTAGAGAGAGAGAGAGAGAAGAGAAGCAGAAGCAGACAGAGAAGAGGAGAGAGTGTAGAGAGAGCGTAAATGGGCAGGGATCTGTCTTTTAAAGGGGTCCTCTGCACCTGCGTGCAGACTTAGTTACCATGGAACCCTGGGCTGACCAGGGTACTGCCTGTTCCACCAGGTAACAGGGGCAGGCCAACATAATGCCTGAACCTTTCAATTGGAAGCTGGAATAAGTAAACCAAAGAGTACTTTGTGAACCACAAGAATGCCAAGAGAGGGAGGTGTGGCACCTGCCTTTAAACCCAGAATTCAGGAGGCAGAGGCAGGTGTGAGTTCAAGACCAGCCTGGTCTAAATAGAGAGTAACAGACTAGTAGTAGTGACATAGCAAGACTCTGCCAGCAAATACATACATACATACATACATCCTGGTGGTGGTAGCACATGCCTTTAATCCCAGCACTCGGGAGGCAGATCTCTGAGTTGAAGGCCAATTTGTTCTACACAGTGACTTCTAGGACAGCCATGGCTACGGAAAGAAACCCTGTCTCAAAAAAATCAATCATCTTTGGAGCTGGAGAGATGGCTCAGCAGTTAAGAGCACTGACTCCTCTTCCAGAGGACCTGGGTTCAACTCCCAGCACCCACATGGCAGCTCACACCTGTCTGTAACTCCAGTTCTAGGGCTTCTGACACCTTTACACAGACATACATGTAGGCAAAACATGTAAATTATAAAAAAAAATTTAAGAAAGAATGCAGAGAGAGGGAGAAGAAGCCAAATGAACACTGAATGTTTTGTAACTAAGTAGCTAGATGTGTCATTAACAAGACCCAAGAATGCGGAGCAGTTGCAGATTGCATGCTAGGCCTTGTTTGAAATGTGCTGGTTTTGCCCATCCATGGCTACTGGCTGTGGCTCTGAGTCTTGGGTGAGAGGTGGCGGCAGCCAGTGTAACCTGCAGGGGTGGTGGGAGAAGTGGTAAGACGTTAAGAGATTATCAGGACACAGCAGACATGGAAAAGGTGGCCTGCACTTGGCTGAGCTGTCTTGGAAGGTCATGAACACTGAACCTCATGCCGCCCTCCTGTTTTTACTGTCTTCTGCAGGTGGACGGTGGTGACTCCAATGAGCTCAAACCGCAGTGCGGCTGGGGTTACAATCTTCGAGGGCAGGATATATGTGTCAGGTGGCCACGATGGTTTGCAGATCTTCAACAGTGTGAGTCTGGTCCCATCCCGGGTGACTTCTTCCATCCTTGAGTTGTTTGTTTGTTTGTTTGTTTTTCAAATTCAGCCCTGGGCTGGGGGCATAGCCCAGTTATAGATTGTTTATCTAGCACGCACAAGACCCTGCCTGGGTTTAATCCCCAGCACCACACAAACTATGAAGTTTCAACCCTGCCTTTGCTGCATGCAGGTTATCTCCTGAAGTCCCAGGGTGTCTCCCGCCCGCATCATCTAAAATTCACCTCTAGAAAGCCCATATACACAAGGAAGTGTTGAGTGTAGTCACCCTGAACTTGCCCCCCCCCATTTGGGCGTCCATAGAATGCTGAAAAGGCCTTTTGAAAGCCCAACCAAAGTAAGCTCAGTCACATGCCAGAAGTCAATGCCAGCAATTGTGTTCTTCTGGACACTCTGCTGGAAGCTGCAGAGTCTGTTCTTTCAGAAGGCTCGGCAGCCATGCAATAGTCGTTCCAGAGTCAGTCAGTACTGAGGTGGAAAACCCTTGGGACTGTCACATGAAACAGTACTCTCCTTCCAGCTCTGCCATCACCTAGAAGCCTTTCCTTGGGAAAATCCTTCCTTGGTTTCCCAGCGTGTGCCCAGAAGGTGTCAGCTTAGTGTACGGTATAAGCAGGCAGGTACGCAGCTGTGAACAGGTGGCATCAGAGCTAGGGCACATACTAACTGGGCTCTCCCCGATTTCTTCCAGTCTGGCACCACGTGGGTTTCTGAGTCCTGCAGGGTCACCCCATGGACCAGGACTCGTCCCTGACCATCTGTGTCTGTACCTCTCTCCCTGCTACAGGTGGAACACTACAACCACCACACAGCTACCTGGCACCCAGCGGCCAGCATGCTCAACAAGCGCTGCAGACATGGTGCCGCCTCCCTGGGAAGCAAGATGTTTGTTTGTGGGGGCTATGATGGCTCTGGCTTCCTCAGTATTGCTGAGATGTACAGCTCTGTGGCAGACCAGTGGTGCCTCATTGTACCCATGCATACACGCCGGAGTCGGGTCTCCCTTGTGGCCAGCTGTGGGCGCCTCTATGCAGTGGGTGGTTATGACGGACAGTCCAACCTAAGCTCGGTGGAGATGTATGACCCAGAGACGGACCGCTGGACGTTTATGGCCCCCATGGCATGCCACGAGGGAGGGGTTGGTGTGGGCTGCATTCCTCTTCTCACCATCTAAGGAGAGGGTGGGATGTGGTGGGTCGGGATCTGGTACAGGCATGGGCGCCCCCTTCCAGGGGAAAGTCCTCTCAGAAGGGGCAGAGTGGACCGGAAGATGGGGTGAGATGTGAGCCTGCCAGAGGGACAGTGTTTCCAGGTGCTTAAGTCCTCCGTCACTGTGCTGCCCTTGTGACTTTAGGTTATCAAGGTGCACAAGCCCCTCTGGGCCCCACAGCCAGTAACACGGAAGTGCTTTGCTGGTCCATGTGTACACAGGCTCCATCTAAGCCCAGCGTGCACCTGCTAAGGCCTGGCCCAGCTCCCACTCGCCACAGTGTTGTGAGTGAGTGCCCCTGTGCAGGAGGCCTTCCAGCCAACGCTCCTCCTCGCCTGCTTGTCTGCAGCCATGTTTGTGGCCAGTTTGCCACGGGAAGCCTATTGGAAACTGCGGGGTAAAGCCGGGAGAGAAAGGTGTTCTGACTGCCTGTGATGGGGCAGCTACAGCAGCGGGCTCTGTGCACACAGGCTCTTCCCTCCATCGTGGGGCAGCTACAGCAGTGGGCTCTGTGCACACAGGCTCTTCCCTCCATCGTGGGGCAGCTACAGCAGCGGGCTCTGTGTACACAGGCTCTTCCCTCCATCGTGGGGCAGCTACAGCAGCGGGCTCTGTGCACACAGGCTCTTCCCTCCATCATGGGGCAGCTACAGCAATTTCGTCACTGTCTGCAGCAAGCAGGGAGGCAGAAGTTTTCTCCGTGCCTGATGTTTTTGGGATTCAGTGAGATCTTTTTCTGCTTGTCCCAGAGAACCAGAGGGGAACAGAGATGCTTGAAAGAAAGTGGAGGAAATGGAAACAGGAAAATGCTTGAGAGAAACTGGAAGGAAAAGACGTTTTTAAAAGGACATTTTTCACAGGAAGAAAACAAAAGATACTAAAAGTAAGTGCACATTTAAATGGAAAACCATCAAACATGACAACAGTGGTATCCACGCCCACATTCGGATCCCAGGGCCCCGAGCCGAGCCCTCCTAAAGCAGTCGGGTTCCCTCTGAGCCCCAGTGGTTCTGAAACCAGGGCATTCTTGACGGGACCTGTAGCAAGGTGCTCATGGGGTTGGTGTCCTCATCCACTCCCGGAGGAATTTTTAAATCATAGGCTTAGGGAGCTGGCTGAGTTACTGCCACTCATCTCTTCAGGAGCTCCCACAATCACCTCCCACTGCCACCCAGCGCTCCTTCAGATCCCAGCTCCCAGCTCCCACATACATCCCTTCCCCCTTTGGCCAGCAGGAAATAGCATGTCTGGCCAGATTCACTCTTACCCACCGACTATCCTTGAATAACTTCTCATCATGACGCTTCTGGGGCACATTGGCCATCTGTACCTCGAGGACCTAACCAGGGGCATGCTCCTACCAGCCATGGACTAAGAGGGGTCAGGTGACTTGTCTGCCCTGCCATTCCCTGCTTTTCCTTCCACTTGCCAACCCCAGGGGGTCCACCTTCCCTCCAGCCCTTGGCAGACTGACCAGCAAGGTGGGCCTTTACATTCAAGCAATGCTGGCTTCGTGATATAAAGACCTAAAGACTTAAAAAAAAAAAAAAAAAAAAAAAGACTTTTGCTGCTGCAAAGAAGATATTTTATATTTCTTCCTCTAATCTTGGCAAATGACCTCATGAAGAGACTCCATGCTCCTTCTTCCTCTAGATGGGACCTTCCCGTAGCACCAGAGGCCCCAGAGAGGAGACTCTTCTCTTCCCAGTGCACTGGGCAGAGGGGCCGACCTTCAACTGCTGCTGCCAAAATCTGGTTTTCTAAAATTCTTCCATAGAGACTAGAAGGGTACAATTACTTTTAGCCCCAATCTGGGTCTAAGGGTCCTGCTCTCCACCTGATTGTTTTCTTGCCCATTGCTGCCTGCCTGGAGCAGCCTAGAAGCCAGTTCAGAAAGGCACAATGTGAAGCCTGGGGCATCCCTTACCCCAGACAGCAGGTTTACCAGTGTGTGCAATTGCCATGGGTTCAGGAGGAAGGACTTTCGTCCCCTACAGCTTAAGAGCTGGACCTCTGCTATAAGCACTTGAAAATGATGTTTTTATTTTAAAAGACTGAACAATCTGATAACTGATACATTTTAACCAGACTCCCAGTGGAATGCCAGCATTTCTTCCCGCCCTTCAGTTTGCCTGCTGAAATAGACTCTGGGAGGCTCTGGGTCTCAGTCTTCTGTTAGTCCTGCAGGAGGGCTGTATCCGTGCTCATCTTATTAAGTCCTTTCTTCTGTGAATGTACTGCCCAGCCTTGACTGTGAAGGTGCTGAGAACCAGTCAGTGAACTCCCAGGTGGGTCTCCTGGGTCCTTACGATGCCAGCAGACAGCATCACTGCAGATTCCCCCAGTCTGCTGCTGCTGGATTAGCCTTCCCGAGTCCACCCCCAGCTCCTAGTGTAGCGCTTACACTGTGCACATAGAGACAGTGTTTCCAGAGAGATCAAGTCAGTGTTTAGGCTCTGAGCACACTTGAGCAAACAGGAGCGCTTTCACATTCGCTGGTCTGACTCTTTCGTGTTGGAACAGTAGAATCATGGGAAAACAGACATCACCAAAGGACACTGTGGGAAGAATGTAACAAGGAGATAGGGCAGACACACCTGGTGGACCACGGGGTCTGGCCACTGCCCTTCTCGTTTCCCATGGTTCCTCACTCGAGGTTTCACCAGAGATCACAGCAGAAGAGAGCTGAAGGCCAGCCTCTTGACGGACACAAAGATGGAAATACGTAGGAATTCTGTCTCTCTTCACCCACAGTTGTTTCACAGGGAACTTTATTTATAGAACGCATGTCTTCTGTGTTAAGAAACCAAAGAAAAATAAAAAGAACACTCCCAATTCTCTTGCCTTGTCCTGATTTTGTGTGACCATTCCTGTGTGTGTGTGTGTGTGTGTGTGTGTGTGTGTCTATTTCTCTGTGTATGTGTCCATTCCTGTGTGTGTGTCTAGAGGCTGAGAGTTGACATTGTGTAGGTGGATCTGTCTTTACTGAGCATCTGCATTCTGTAATCACATGCCAGCACTGCTCAGCTTAGTGGCATAAAGGATATGGGTGTAACCAGACTCTCTTGGATCCACAGGAATTCAGGCCTGGTACTGTTGCAGAATATTAATTTAAGGTGTGTTATTTTTGTTTATGCTTTGGAACATTTGTTTAATGATGCAAAGATGTGTTTGATTAAATTAAATTCACCTGCAGTCAGGAGGCTGGGTCAACAAGGAGCTGACAGGAAGTTGTAGGAGGAGCCAGGTGAAGAGGGTTTACAAGGAGGGGAGCATGAGCATGAGGACTTCTTGGGAGACACGAGGAGGTGAGCTGCTTGCTATCCATCCTCTCTGGGAAGCAGGATTCTGCCTTCCTTCGTAGCTTTTAAAGAGTCGGTGCCTGAGGGAGCAGAATTCCCCTCAGGCGTCAGCTCCTGCAGCAAAGCTGCTGCTGGTAGCGGCAGAGCTGCAGTTGCTGAGCATGGTAGCCAGCGCATAAATGGCCAAAAGAAATAAAGGAAAACAACATGGTGCTATAAACTGCAGCTCAGTGATTCACAGGCCCTGTAGAGGAACCTTCTACTGTTGTTTTCCTAAAAGACATTTTGTCAAACTTCTTTTTAAATATTTATGCTTACTTATACTCACAGATTAGTGATGCTGTCAACCTTGGCCAAAGGGTCTTCTCTCTGCAGTGGTCAGCAGTTTATACAGATGTTTATAATTGGTCAAAGTGCTGAGAATAGATGTCTATTGAGTGCTCAGCCCTAAATGGATAATTTATATCACACACACCCCACCCAAGTTTCAGGGAATGCTTGGCCCATAGAGAGTGGCACTATTAGGAGGTGTGGCCTTGTTGGAGTAGGTGTGGCCGTGTGGAGGAGGTCTGCGTCTGTGTGGAGGCAGGCATTGAAGGTTCATATATGCTCAATCCATGCCCAGTGAGACAGTTCACTTCCTTATTGCTTGTGGATCAAGATGTAGAACTCTCAGCTACCTCACCAACACTTACGTCTACCTGCATGCTGTCTTGTTCCCTGCTGTGACAATAATGGACAAAACTTCTGAAACTGTAAGCAAGTCAGCCCCAATTAAATGTTTTCCTTTATAAGAGTTGCCATGGTCTTGGTGTCTCTTTACAGCAATAGAAACCCTTCATAAGACAAAAGTTGGTACTAGTACCTGGGGTATTGCTGTGATAGGCCTGACCATATTTTTGTTTAGAGGAATTTGGACTTTGGTACTTTGGGTTAGGAAAACAGTGGAATACTTTTACCGCTGCTTAATGGGCCATACTAGTAGGATCATGGAAGACAGTGGTGCTGAGGGTGATTTAAACTGTGGGAGCCCAGCTCAAGAGGTTTTAGGAGAAGAATTTTAGTATATGTTCTAGAGACTGTTCTTGTGATATTTTGGTAAAGAATGTGTCTGCTTTTTGCCCTTGTCTGAAGAGTCTGCCTGAGGCTAACATGAAGAGTTTTGGATTCATTCCATTGGCAGAGGAAATCTCAAAACAGCCCAGGATATACTCTGTTGTATGGTTATTAGCATTCACTCTTACAAATATCTATAATGAAAAGAAACAAACTGAGCAAGGAAAAATACAAAATGTACAATTTTAAGAGAAAAGCAGGGGGCTGGAGAGAGATGGCTCAGTGGTTAAGAGCACTGGCTGTTCTAGAGGTCCTGGGTTCAATTCCCAGCAACAACATGATGGTTCAAAACCATCTATAGTGAGATCTGATGCCCTCTGTTGGCATAAAGCTATATGAGCAGATAGAGCACTCATATGTAAAATAAATAAATAAATCTTAGAGAGAGAGAGAGAGAGAGAAAGAAAGAGAGAGAGAGAGAGAGGGAAGGGGCACCAGCAAGTGGAATGGAGCTAAATCCCATGTTCAAGGAGATAAAAAGATTAAAAGAAAGCCAGATGTTAAATGGAATAAAGGGAGTGGAGACCTCACGGCAAGATCCCACACAGTTAAGCTTCCAGTTTGTGAAAAGGAGTTAAAAGAACAGCTCAGGTCCAGGCATGGTGGTAAACGCTTTTATTCCTAGCACCCAGGAGACAGAGGCATTTGGATCTCTGAGTTCAAGGCCAGCCTGGTGTGCAGATCCAGCTCCCAGGACAGTCAAGCTTAGGCAGTGAAGGAAACCATGGAAAACAGAAAACTAGTTAAGCTGTAATTGAACAAGGGGTCCGTGTTCCAGCCCCAGAAAGTAACAGAACTTGGCAGTTTCAGCCACATGGTTCGGGTTTCTGAGTAAAGGTTAGAAGGAAGGGATTGTGGAATCTCCCTTTGTGACCAAGCCACTGAGGCCAGGTGTGTGGCAGCAGTGTCCCTGAATGGATGCCTAGAGATGCCAGTATGTGTCTCTGTGAAGGTGAAGCCTAGGTTGCCTTGCAGACCCCAGGATGGTGGAGATAGCAGAGCTGCGGGATTCCTGCAAAGGGGAGCTGCTAATAGGGTATGGGGCCAACCCAAGAGAAAGAAAGGAGTGCGTTGTAGTCAACAAAACTGAAAGGAGTTGAAGATCTAAAGAGGAATTTGACTTCAGGCATGGAGATGCAGGGTTTGGAGTTTGCCCAGCTGGTTTTTAGTCTTGCTTTGGTCCAGTATTATCCTTCTTTTCCTTCATTTTGGGATGGTAATTTACATACTGTACCAGTATATGTGGGAAGTATGTGATCGGGGTTTGTTTGGTTTTTTTTGTTTTGTTGTTTTGTTTTTTTGTTTTGGTTTGGTTTTTGGTTTTTCGAGCCAGAGTTTCTCTGTGGCTTTGTAGGCAGTCCTGGAACTAGCTCTAGTAGACCAGGCTGGTCTCGAACTCACAGAGATCTGCCTGCCTCTGCCTCCCGAGTGCTGGGATTAAAGGCATGCACCACCACTGCCCAGCTGTGTTCTGGTTTGTTTGTTTTTTTTAATTTTGATTTTATAGGTGATTACAGTTAGGAGATTGCATGAATCTCAGAAGAGACTCTGAGCTTGTGGAGCTTTAAACATTGCTAGACAGTGATAGACAATGGGGACTTTCAAAATTGGACTAAGTGCATTTTTCTTTATATTATGTTTTATGTTTTGTTTAAATTAGATATAAAGAAAAAGAGGAGGCGCAAGATGAGACATATTAACCATTTTATTATAGGCCCGGCAGAGTAGGGAGACTAAAAGAGAAGAGGAACAGGGGTAATGGCTGACCGCCATGGCCGGTCACCATAGAGAGGCAGAGAGAGCACGTAGATGGGAGAAGAGAGAGGGAAGAAGAAGCAGAGAGAGAAGAGAGAGAGAGCAAATGTTATGTTTTTGTTCAAATTAGATATAAAGAAAAAGAGGCTGCAAGATAAAACATCTTAACCAGTTTATTATATGCCCGGCAGAGTAGGGAGACTAAGAGAGAAGAGGAACAGGGGTAATGGCTGACCGCCATGGCCGGTCGCCATAGAGAGAGAAGAGAAGCAGAAGCAAACAGAGAGAGTGAAGAAGAAACAGAGAGAGAGAGCGAAGCAGGGAAGTTGGAACTTTTAAAGGGAAGACTGCATGCTCACTGAGGGTCCACGCATGCCCAGAGTCCTCATGCAGGCTGTAAATGCGTGGTGGGCAATGTGGTGATGGCACGTACCTGTGCGTGCCCTGACTGTTGTCAGGGGGCGGGGTCTGTCTCTTAAAGAGGTAGAGCCGATCAGCATTAAAGCCTGAACCTTTCATTCCCATCTCTACTTATTTTAAAAAAGTGTGGTGTTAGAATGGCAGGGTAAGGAATAAGGACGTCGAATTCTCAAGACTGCTTCCTGCTGACCTGAGGGGTGTTGACCATCTTTGGGGGAACTGAGAAGGTTGGGGTGCTGCCACGACCTGGGGTAGCTGGTTGTTTCATTGCATTATGGCTACAAGCCTGTGGGAGCCAGGGAGTGGAATGTGGTGGCTTGGATAAGTATGACCCCCGTAGACTCATGTGTTTGAAGGCTTGACCCATAGGGAGTGACACTATTAGGATGTGTGGCCTTATTGGATGAAGTGTGTTACTGTGGAGGTAGGCTTTGAGGGTTCATATATGCTCAAGCCACGCTCAGTGAGACAGTTCACTTCCTGTTGCCTGCAGATCAAAATGTCTGCCTACGTGCTACCTTGAAAATAATGGACTAAACCTGTGAAACTGTAAGCAAGCCCCAATTAAATATTTTCCCTTATAATAGTTGCCATGGTCATGGTATCTTTGCACAGCTATAAAAAATCCTGGCTAGGGCTGGAGAGATGGCTCAGAGGTTAAGAGCACCGACTGTTCTTCCAGAGGTCCTGAGTTCAATTCCCAGCAACCACATGGTGGCTCACAACCATCTGTAATGAGATCTGGTGCCCTCTTCTGGCCTGCAGGCATACATGCAGGCAGAGCATTGTATACATAATAAATAAATTTTAAAAAAATTAAAAAAAAAAACCCTGGCTAAAACAGGGAACATCACTAAAGAACAGTGGAAAGAATATAAGAGCAGCAGGATGGGGTGGAATAATGAGAAACTCTGTCTTTGGGACATGACATGGCCATTTCACCCATAAACTTACAGCAGCTACAGTTACCTGCACAAGGTCAAGTCTACAAGGTCAGTCAACAGTCCAACAGGCAGCAGTAACTCGACTCAGTGAGTTATTGACACATTAAAAAAAAAAAAGAGGACGTGAAGTGGGGATGGGAACACGTTGAGGGTGCTTTGGAGGGACGAATTGGGGGAAATAACAGGGGAGAAGGGGTACACAGGATCAAGATGAAATTGACGAAGAATAGGTAAGTAGGTGTGGTAGCTCATATCTGTAACCCAACCACTGGGGAGGCTAACATAGGAGGATTGCTGAGAGTTTGAGATCAGCCTGGGCTACACATACACACAAACAGTAACTTTAGATAATGATGATCATGGTGACCTTTTCAATACCATATGGGGTGCTCAAGAGGTAGTCTGGCGTGCTAGTGAAAGAAAGTTTAACGTTCTGACTGGAACTTTGTGCTAAGGAAGGAATAACAGCCAAAGAGAATGGGGCCAGACTACTCTCCCTTCCTGGTCTCCTCAGACTCTATACTCAGTTTCTCTCTTTTAAAAATTGGGAAAAATTACATTTACTTTGTGTGTGTGTGTGTTTTTATGTGTGCAAGAGGGCATGTATGCATGTGTGCATTTTAATCCGTGTCATAACACATGTGTAGAGGTCAGAGAACAACCTACAGTAGTTTTCTATTTTCATTATGTAGGTCCTGATATCGAGCTCAGGTTGTCTAGTTTGGTGGCAAGTGCCCCAACCCATTAATCCATCTAGCTGGCCCCTTGCTTCCTCTGTGTGGCCCCTTCCTTGACCTCACAGAGTCTGGGTATCCTCAACCCCCACCCGGGGTCTGACACATTCATCTCCACACCCCAAGTTCAGCCATCCCAGCTCCGAGCACCTCATTCATTCAGTCACTTCCTCATTAATCTCAAAAGCATTTTATTGAGTCTGTCTTATAGGTCTTGATATGACATCCCCCCCCCCCGTCACTCCTACACAGGTCCCAATCAGGATGTGTAAGGGGACATTTGGTGTAAAAGGGCACAGAGACTGGACAAGGAGCAGGAGTACTCAGGATCTTGACAAAAGGAACTGTCTTTCAGGATTCCAGGAACACATGATTGAAAAATCCGTTCTATAGCCACCTGCAACTGGCCCCGGAAGCCCAGCTGGGAATAGATGCAGTGTGATCTGGCTGGAGCACAGCAAGTATTACCAGCGTGGTTTGAGGGTTTTGAGCAAACAGATGTGGGAAGGACACTTTTGCTTTGGGAGGGTGAGAAGAACTCCTGCTGGAGGGGACGTTTGAGTTTGGGACTTGAAGGGTAAAGTTTCAGATATAGGGTAGGGCAGGTATTCCCAGCAGAAGGGAGCAAGTGTGCAGAGGTATGAATGCTTTGGGACTTGGAGTTAATCTAGAGAGGGGCCCTCCTGGAAAGTGCAGACAGCAGGGTCCTGGAGGCAGCAGAGGGAGGTGGGTAGTGGAGAAGAGGAGGGCACAGAGGCAGGCAGAGCCTCACCTCCCAACAGCAGCACTAGAAATTATGAAGGATGTTGTTGATGATGTCAAACTTGGCATTTTCATAGATGTTCCTAATCTTGGGTAAGATCTTTGAGCTGGTCCTTCTCAGAGACATCCTCCACAGTGTAATCAGGAGAATCCTTCACCTGGGCACCCTGTGGGAGAGATACCAGACAGTCACCACCATCACAGTGGTTGGTGTCTAACCTGCCTGTGGTCTTCCCCTCACAGACAGGATGAGGTGACAGAGGCAGCAGACACAAGGGTGTGATGGGACATGGAGGCCTGGGTAGATCTGGATTAGGAGGAGGTCGGCTCCCACTGGCTGTCTTGAGGCCAGAGAATTGGTGTTGCAGAGCACCAGGCCCCTCTAGAACTCTTCCAGGCCCCTTCTCTCCTAACAGTGGGAAGGTCTGAGCCATGCCAACACAGGGCATGCCACACCTCTCCACACACTTGCTGTAAAGGGGTTGATTGGTTGTTTCCAGATAAAGAGCCTGTGTGTGCAGCACATACACAGTCAGCTCAGTGCCTCTCCCAGGGCCCAAGAGAGAGCCCAGCAGGAGGGGATTTGTAACCCCGGGTTTAGGCCTCTGCAGTGAGAACCCTGGAGGGAACATGGGCAGCAAGCTGCTCACCTGTCTACTGCAATCCGTGTCACAGCTCAAGGTCAGGTAGGTTGAACGCCCCCTTCTGAGGAATTGGCCTGTGCAGTCTCGCTCCTCCTGTAAGTGGGGGGGACAGGAGTTATAGACATCTTGTCACATTTCTGGAGAGAGGCCAGCACTGTGCTCAAACCAGAGATGCAAGCCAGAGCAGCAAAGAGAGACGGTGGACAGGAGGACAGAGGCACACCTATGAGCCTAAATGACAGAACATCCTTATAAATCACTAGAAGTTCTCATGCCCTGAGGAAAGTGTGTTTGTTGAAGGTCCTGTGTGAAGATAAATCAACAGCTGATGCCTGGCCCTGGGAAATGAGGCTGTGAGTCAGTCAGTGGAACCATTGCTTTAAGTGTGAATGATAAAAGAACATTTGAAATATGTTACTTTCTGGTTCTGTTTCTAAAAGCAACATCTCTAGGTGGATTACACACACACTTTGTCATTTTGCTTTTTTATTTTATTTTTATTTAGTAGGTTTTAGCATGTAACGCCTCCTCCCTCACTGATTTATGTGGCATTGGGAGTGAAACCCAGGGCCTTGCACTTGTGAAACAAGACTACCCCTGAGCTAATTGCAATAATTTATAGTAAGAAAAGGTATTTAAAAAGCCTGATTTTGTTTTTTTCTAAGTATTATTTGGGAGTGTGAGAGTGCATGCCTATAGAGTCAGCTCTCTTCGCCGTGTCAGTTCCAGGGTTCCTTTATGCTCTAAGGCAATTCCAGACCCAAAAATGAATTTAGAAAAAGACTTCAAGTTAAAATTGTTGCTGATGAAGTGGCCAGGTGATATGGATGGAGCCAAGGAGGAGAGAACTTGTGTTCCTCCGCAAGGCAGTCTGGGAGCTGGGAGAAGGAGACTCACCCCATCTTCCAGGAAGTTGCAGTTTCTAGGCTGTGTTCTTTCCGGTGTGGAGATGCACTCTGTCTCTTTAATCCTGAACTCCAGTGAGATCCTGCTAGTGGAGAACTGAGGAAGGAACAGAGAGCTCATGACCATCTCTCTTCTACAGATGTGGGGCAGAGCACAGAGGGCTTGGGGGACACTGCCTGTGGCAGCCTCGTCCATGTCTACACTGCCCACCACAGTCTGGGGCCTATGAAATGTCCTGAAGGGTACAGTCAGTGGGTGTGGTGGCACATGCTTGAATCCCAGCACTCAGGAGGCAGAGGCAGGCAGATCTCTGTGAGTTCAAGGCCAGCCTAGTCTACAGAGCAAGTTGCAGGCCAGCAGGCATGACATAAATGAAGTAAAGGGTACAATTGGCCCTGGAGGCACACACCTGTAGTCTCAACACTTGGGAGGTAGAATCAGGAGGATCAGGAGTTCAAGGTCATCTTCAGCTACATTGCAAATTCCAGGCAGCCTGGGCTACATGAATTCTGTCTAAAAAGAGGAGAAGTCGTGGTCTTTACTACTAATAGCTGTATGACATTCTTTGATTGCCCTTCAGCACCATCCTGTATAAAACAGTAATAAAAATCCCATCCCTTCAAGTCTTGTGCCAGGAGACAGGCTGACAGTGCAGACTTATCCTAACTGTGAGTAGAAGAAATGGCTGGCCTAGAAGTCATTACATAGCTGAGACTAATTCTAAACCTCTGATCCTGTGGCTTCCACCTGCAGAGTGCTAGGGTTCAAGTCCAGGGTTCCACGTATGCAAGACAAACACTCTACCAACTGAGCTACATGCCCAGTGCCCAGGTAGGAGAAACCTTCTACACTGCTTGATTCCCAGGCTGGGGTGGCAGACACTCACCTGACCAGATGGCTGAGTGGCATCTACCAGGCGGAAGAGGGGCTTTCCTGGACGCCCATTGTTGTATGCCTCTATGGCCCGGTCAACAATATCCTCAAATCTTGGTGGGCGATGGGCCTCACAGGGTACCACAGCCAAGGCCACCACCAACACAAGTGCCTTCCACAGCCTTGCCATTGTGTCTGACCCATTGCCACTCCTGACTCCTTTTATTTAGGTGATCCTTATGCTGCCTTGCCCAAGGACTGCTGGTGACATAAATGGCTGATGGCTACAGAATGGGGGCCCCTTCAAATGTTGGCCAATGTTATGAAACACGGTTAGCCAAGAGAGGCAAGGAGGTTTGGGCAATAGACCAAGACCTGGAAGTGAGTCTTGAGCTAGAAAGAAGAGACTTGTTGGCAGGCTGGGCATGCCTGTTCACTCTGGGCCTGAGTGGCTCTGCTGGCCTCCAGACCTTCCCGTTGACAGCGCTTCTCTCCCTACCTGGCTCTTCTGTAGCAGGTTTGATAGAAACCCAGAGATATATTTTGGGGTTCAAGCTGAAGATCAGAAAAGCAAAGCAGTCAGCCACTAGAGTTCTTACCTATACCAAGGCCAATACCAAGGGAAGGGGGTGATCCTGGCCCCAGTGTGCCTGTGGGCTGTGCTGCTCTCCACCAAACCTCACACTGCACTGAGACTACACTGAGCTTCTGCCTTATATTCCTCTCTAGTGCTGGGTTTAAAGGTGTGAGCCCTGTTTCTCCTTTAGACTGATTCACTCTCATGTAGCCTAGGGTGGCCTTGAACTCACAGAGACATCTGCTTCTGTCTCCCGGGAGATTAAAGCTGTGGCCACCACTGCCTGTCCTCTATGGCAAACTAGTGGCTTAGCTCTGCTTCTTGATCTTCAGGAAGGCTTTATTTGTTAGATCATAAACAAAATATCACCACACTCTTCTGCTTTGATCCCCCCAAAAATAGCTGCCTGGAACCCATGGACTCCACATTGAGTTCTTTATCCGGGTTCATGAAGAAACCATTGTTTTGAGGCTACACTCAGGGGAATACCCACAGTGTCACACACATTTTAAAAAATACATCAACTGTAAACCTCTGAATGTCATCAGTTCTTGGCCTTTATGGACTGGGCATGGTGGCACACATCTTTAATCCCAGTACTTGGGAGACAGAGCCAGGTAGGTCTCTATGAGTTCAAGGCCAGATTGGTCTCTAAAGGTTTCAGCCTGGCCACGACTATACACTAGACCCCGCCTTTAAAAATAAAATGAAGATATGTTTTGGTGGTGTACTCTTTAATCCAAACATCTGGGAGGCAGAAGCAGGAAAGGATAAGTGTTACAGCTGCGAGGGGAAGGTGCCCTGGCAGTGCGTGGCCAAGGCACACAAAAGCTTTGCTGGGAAAGGGAAAAAAAATGGCTGCCTCTGTTTGGGAGAGTCGTGGAGGAGCAGCAAAGATGTGAGGAGGAGGCAAGCTTTATAGAGTTCTTGTGGGGAGCAGAACTTTCCAGCGTGCCCTGCAATTGGTGGGATTCTGTAGCCTGATCTTTGGCTTTCTTTTCCTCCTCCTTTCCTTCCTTCCTTCCTTTCTTCCTTTCTTCCTTATGTCCTTCCTTCCTTCCTTCCTTCCTTCCTTCCTTCCTTCCTTCCTTCCTTCCTTATGTCCGTCCTTCCTTCCTTCCTTTTTCCTTTTGGGCAGAGCTTAGCTGCCTGCATCTGAAGGGATTGGAAGTAAGGGCCACTTGTGCCTCAAGGGGCTGGCCTGGCTGTCAGAGCAGTCTGGTTGTGGGGCCTAGCCACTAACATCTTGAGGGACTTACAGAGGGTCTCTATGAGTTCAAGGCCAGTCTGGTCTATATGGGAGTTCCAGGAAGACTGGACTACACAGTGAGGCCATGTCTCAATAAATAAATGAATAAAATAAAATAAAGTTTATTGGTTTTTTTGTTATTTTGTTTTGTTTTGTTTTTGGTTGTTTTGAGACAAGGTTTCTCTGTGTAGCCTTGGAGCCTGTCCTGGAACTTGCTTTGTAGACCAGACTGGCCTCGAACTCACAGAGAGCTGCCTGCCTCTGCCTCTTATTTACTTATTTAATATTATTATTTAATGTGGAAGTCATAGAACACCTTTGTGGAATTGGTTCTCTTTTTCTGCCCTGTGGGTCTCAGGATAAAGTCAGATACAGGCTTGCACAGCAAGTCCCTTCCTCACTGAGCCGTCTTGTCAGCCATTCTTGGTCATTTGCTAAGATCAAGTATAAAGTTTGAAAAATTGAGACCTGATAACCCATGTCCCTCCATGCGTCACAGCTCTGACATCAGCTTCACTGTGTCTGCCTTTAGCAGCTCACAGCCCAGAGGACACAAGCTCCTGTGTGGGGTGTAGGCCAGTTCAGGAAGCAGCTTGAAGTGGAGACCCCCATTGCTAGTGGCTGTGGCCCTCAGGTTCCCACCCAGCCCATGGCTGAGGGGCCATTATTCTCCTAAAGAGATCGGAGAGCAGGAGAGGAGCCAGCCTGCCTCCATCTGAAGCTCTCAGTTTCTCAAGGATTGGACTATGCCACACCTACAGATGCTTCCGTACTGCCTGCTCCAGGAAATGGCAGCCATGTCTTTGTTTCAAAAAGTATAATAATGATCTTGCATCCCTACTGTGATTCAAAAGGTTATTTTGACCTCAAATTCAAGAATATCTGGCCTCAGTTTCTTGAGTGGAGCATTGGTGATGGGATATCATTTCTTGTGATTTTGATTTGCATTTCCCTATTGCTTAATAATTTTTAGTGTCTCTTTGGTTTTATCTTTTTAGATGTATTTATTATGTATACAGTGTATGCCTGTATGCATGCCTGCACAGCAGAAGAGGGTACAAGATCTCATTATAGATGGTTGTGATCCACCATGTTTTTGCTGGGAATTGAACTCAGAACCTCTCAAAGAGCAGCCAGTGCTCTTAACCTCTGAGCCATCTCTCCAGACCCTTTTAGTGTCTCCTTATATTCTTAGTGTCTGTATGTAGATTTTTATTTTATTTTTTGTTCTTTTTGAGATAGGGTTCTTAGGGTTTCTATTGCTGTGAAGAGACACCATGACCAAAGCAACTCTTATAAAGGAAAACATTTAATTAAGGTGGTTCACAGTTTTAGAGGTGTAGTCCCTTATCATCATGGTGGGACATGGCAGCAGGCAGGCAAACATGATGCTTAGAGCTGTGGCTGAGAGTTCTACATCCTGGACAGGCATCAGGAAGTGGTCTGTCTCACTGGGTATAGCTTGAGTATAGGAGACCACAAAGCCCACCCCCACAGTGACACACTTCCTCAAACAAAGCCACGCCTGCTACAAGGTCACACCTCCCATTAGTGCCCCCTCTTTGGGGCCATTTCCTTTTAAACCACCACACAGGGTTTCCCTGTGTAGCCCTGGCTGTCCTGGAACTAACACTGTAGACCGGGATGGCCTTGAAATCACTGAGATCTGGCTTTCTTTGCCTCCTGAGTACTGAGGTTAAAGGCGTGCACCACCGCCGTCCAACTGTAGATCTTCTTTAGTGAAATGCTCGTCCAAATCCTTAAAATGTTTCTTTAATTAATTAGCCAATCAGTTAATTTCTCACAGCTGAAGTTTGAGAGAAAAACAACAAAGTAGGCAAGTGGTAAACCCCAGCAACTGTCAGGAGAAGGAAGGACCCCCTATTGGGGGTGGGGTGTGCAAGCAACTATGGAAAATGTGTGTGTGTCGGGGGTGAGGGAGCCTTCAGAGAACACTGACAAACATGCAAACATGCTTACAAGTTTGGCTGGTACCCAAAGAAGAGATGGAAAGGGGCAAGTTATGCTTTTGAGTTAGAATTTGGAGAAGAGAACAGGTGGAGCTTGAAGAAATGGGTCAGTGGTTCGTGTACCGACTGCATTCTGATGCCTGAGGAGGTCAGAAGAGGGTGATGGTTTCCCTGGAGTTACACACAGAATCTAAGCCTTCTACCTACAAGGATGCATGTGGTACAGACATATGTGTAGGCAAAACACTCATAAAACAAAACAATAGTTTAAAGAAGACATTAAGGAAAGGGAAGCAGCTGGGCAGTGGTGGCACATATCTTTAATGCCAATGCCAGGGGCAGAGTCCAGTGGATCTCTGAGTTTCAGGCCAGCCTGGTCTACAAAGAGAGTTCCAGGACATTGGGGCTTTTATACAGGAAAGGCCCTGTCTTAAAAAAAAAAAAAAAAAAAAAACATAAAAAACAAAAAGGGAAGCAGGCTTAGTATTAGTGCATATCTGTAAACAATTGCCTGACCTTCTTTTTTCTTTCTCTTATTTATTTGTTTGATTATTTATTGTTATCTTATTTTAAGACATTGAGTCTTGCTTGGGTAGCTCAAGCAGGCCTTTAATTTCCGGGCTCAGGTGATTTTCTTGCTTCTAGCTCCTGGGCTGGGCTGTCAAAGAGTTCCACCACAGTCAGCTTGCACATGTTAAAACACAGTTATATGAACTGTCCATAATTGTCTTAGAACTAACATGTTTTCTATTTCAGGCTTGGAGTGGTGGCATACACCTATTATCCCAGCACTTGGGAGATAGAGGCAGGAGGACATCCACAGCTACAGGAATAGCAAGGGATCCTGTTTTGTTGAAGGGAGAGAGAGAGAGAGAGAGAGAGAGAGAGAGAGAGAGAGAGAGAGAGGACGTAAAGTTGGATGGGTAGGGAGTTGAGGATCTGAGAGTATTTGGGAGCAGGGGAATATGGGCAGAATATATTGTATAAAAATTTTAGTAAAGGGGCTGGTGAGATGGCTCAGTGGTTAAGAGCATTTGCTGCTCTTACAGAGGACCCAGGTTCACTCCTTGCACCCACATGACAGCTCACACCACACCTGACACCCTCTTCTGTCTTCCAAGGGCATCTACATATACTCAGACATACAATAAAATATATCCTTTAAAAACTGGGATTGGGGGCTGGAGAGATGACTCAGAGATTAAGAGCACCGACTGCTCTCTTCCAGAGGTCCTGAGTTCAATTCCCAGCAACCACATGGTGGCTCACAACCATCCGTTATGAGATCTGGTGCCCTCTTCTGGTGTGCAGATAGACATGGAAGCAGAATGTTGTATACATAATTAACAAAGTCTTTTAAAAAACTGGGGTTGATATATAAAATAAGATTGTTTCTAAT